GTCCTGCTTCGTGGGCCAAATACTTTGATCTTCTCCCTCTTGATTCTATGCCTGACGGTTTCTCCCTCTGTAGGTACCTTGTTGATTTAGTAGATGCCTCTGATATCTCCACACCACCCGTCTCAGTACCTGGTTGATGGGGTTCTGGGAGTTCTTCTACTCACCAAGTCCGGCCCGAGGCCAGACTTTACTTGTGAGAGTTTGGTTCACCAGGCTGTTGCTTGGAGTGGCCCGCAGGCCCACATACCCACCACAGCCCGGTTGGTCCGGCACTCCTTGAAAGAAACAATCTAGTTTCCTTTTGAAGATGTCAACGGTTGTTCCTGTAATATTTCTGATGCTGGCTGGTAGGACGTTGAACAACCGTGGACCTCTGATGTTCATACAGTGTTCTCTAATTGTGCCCATGGCACCTCTGCTCTTCACTGGTTCTATTCTGCATTTTCTTCCATGTCGTCACTCCAGTACGTTGTTATTTTACTGTGCAGATTTGGGACCTGTCCCGCCAGTATTTTCTATGTGTATATTATTTGGTATCTCTCTCGTCTCCTTTCTAGTGAGTACATTTGGAGAGCTTTGAGACGATCCCAATAATTTAGGTGTTTTATCTCGACTATGTGTGAAGTATATGTTCTCTGTATTCCCTCAATTTCAGCAATCTCTCCTGCTCTGAAGAGGGAAGTGAGTACTGAGCAGTACTCAAAACGGGACACACAAGTGATTTGAAGAGAACAACCATTGTGATGGGATATCTGGAGGTTCTCGTAATGCATCCTATCATTTTTCTGGCTGACGCAATACTTGCTTGGTTATGCTCCTTAAACGTCAGGTCGTCGGACATCATTATTCCCAAACCCTTGACATGCTTCTTTTCCTACTATGGGCAGATTCGATTGTGTTTTGTACCCTGTATTATGTTTAAGATCCTCATTTTTGCCGTATCTGAGTACGTGGAATTTATCACCGTTAAATATCATTTTTCTCTGCTGCCCAATCGAAAACTTTGTTAATATCTGTTTGTAGTTTATCAATATCTTCAGCAGAGGTAATTTTCATGCTGATTTTTGTATCATCTGCAAAGGATGACACGAAGCTGTGACTTGTGTTTTTGTCTATGTCTGATATGAGAATAAGGAACAGCAGTGGTGCAAGGACTGTACCTTGAGGTACAGAGCTTTTAACTGCGCTCGGACTCGATTTTATTTGATTGACTGTTATTTTTGTGTTTTGTTCGACAGGAAATTGAGTATCCAGCGTGCTACTTTACCAGTTATACCTATTGACCTCATTTTGAGCAATCACTCCATGGTCACATTTGTCGAATGCCTTTGCAAAATCTGTATATACGACATCTGCATTATGTTTTCCTCTAATGCCTCAGTGATTTTGTCATAGTGGTCAAGTAGCTTTGAGAGGCATGATCTTTCTGCTCTAAATCCATGTTGGCCAGGATTGTGGAGGTCATTGGTTTCCATGAATCTAGTGACCTGACTTCTGATCACTCTCTCAAATACTTTTATTATGTGGGACGTTAGTGCAACTGGTCTATAATTCTTTGCCAATGCTTTGCTACCACCCTTGTGTAGAGGGGCAATGTCTGCTGCTTTAAGCGCATCTGGTATCTCCCCTGTGTCCAAGCTCTCCTCCACACTATACTGAGTGCCTGTGCTACTGGCACTTTGCATTTCTTTATAAATATTGAATTCCATGAGTCTGGACCCGGGGCTGAGTGTATGGGTATATTGTCAATTTCTCTTTCAAAATCTACCACGCTCGTGCAGATATCAGTTATATTTACAGGTTTTTGAATATCATTCATAAAGAAATTATCCGAATCTTCCACTTTCATGCTGAGTATCGGAGTGCTAAACATGTCCTCATACTGCTTTTTTAGGATTTCACTAATTTCTTTGTCATCCTCAGTGTATGAACCTTCACTAATACGAATAGGTCCAATTCTGGCAGTGGTTTTCGCTTTTGATTTAGCATATGTGAAGAAATATTTTGGGTTTTTCTTTATTTCTTGAATTGCTTTCTGTTCTAGTTGCCTTTCTTCAGTCTGATAAGAATGCTTCAGTCTCTGTTCGATTTCTTCAATCTCCCTGTTTAAATGATTTCTTCTTTGTTTGGAGAGTCGTGTCTGCTTAAGCACTTCCGTTAATTTCTTCCTCCTTTTGCAATGTCGTCTGCGTTCTCTTTCTACATTGGACCTCTTTCCAGCTTTCCTCAAAGGAACATGTTTCAGACAGACTTCATATGCTTCAGAAGTCAGTTTTTCTATTCCTTGTGTAGGATTTTTATTTCTTAGAACTTTTTCCCATTGAATGTTTGTAAGTTCCCTGTTTATTTTCCCAGTCTATCCTCTTATTATTAAAATTGAATTTATTGAATAGCTCTTCTCGCTTGTTTCTCTTGGGCCTACTACCGTTATTAATGTTATTTTGCACTTCAATGAGCTTGTAGTCCGAGTACGTAGTGTCTGAGACAGTAATGTCTCTAATTAGCTTCTCATTGTTCGTGAATATCAGGTCCAGCGTGTTTTCGTTCCTAGTTGGTTCTGTAATCTGCTGACTGAGCGAGAATTTGTCACAGAATCTCAGTAGTTCTCTGACCTGTGGTTGGCTATTTCCAGGTTGACTTCCTGCTATAATGTTATTCTTTACTATTCTCCATTTTTAACTGGGTAGATTGAAGTCTCCAAGGAAGATGATGTCTGGTACTTGGTTTGCTAGGTTATCAAGGATATTCTCTATTTTGTGATTTCCAATTTATGATAATGGGAAAATCAATAACATATTACCGATATATAATAAAGGAAATTAAACACATGAAAGAGTTTAAAAAATAATTAAAAATAATTACAATTTTAATTTACAAATTAAAATTTTAATTTATAAATACCCAAATTTTTTTGGTAGCGACCCGTCACCAGCAAACCGAGAAAATACGTTATTTAGTTTTTTTAAGATTTTAAAGTTACAGAGAAAAAATGCAACATACTTTTGAACTCGGTTTATAATGAACGAAATTTTTCCGCAACAATTTCTATGTCTCTATGTTTCATAATATAGTGAACGGCGTCATTATGAAGCGTCGTTAGTGGCGTGAATTAAGCACACACACACACACACACACTCACACACACACACACATATATATATATATATATATATATATATATATATATATATATATTGTATGTAATTTTGTTTGCATATATTATTAAATATTTATTTTTTGGCTCAATAATACAAATACTTGATGTATTTTTACACGTATTTATTGGGTCGTCCCAGCTCCTGGGTCGTCCCAGCTCCTGGGTCGTCCCAGCTCCTGGGTCGTCCCAGCACATGGTCGTCCCCCAGCATGGGTCGTCCCAGCTCCTGGGTCGTCCTAGCCCCGGGGTCGTCCCAGCTCCTGGGTTGTCCCAGCTCCTGGGTCGTCCCAGTTCCTGGGTCATCCCAGCTTCTTGGTCGCCCTAGCTCCGGAGTCGTCCCAGCTTCTGGGTTGTCCGAGTTCCAGGGTCGTCCCAGCGCCTGGGTCGTCCCAGCTCCTGGGTCGTCCCAGCTCCTGGGTAGTCCCAGCTTCTGGGTCGTCCCAGCTCCTGGGCCGTCCCAGCTTCTTGGTCGTCTCAGCACATGGGTCGTCCCAGCTCCGGGGTTGTCTCAGCGCCTGGGTCGTTTCAGCACATGGGTCGTCCCAGCTCCTGGTACGTTCCAGCGCCTGGGTCGTCCCAGCACATGGGTCGTCCCAGCACATGGGTCGTCCAGCACATGGGTCGTCCCAGCTCCTATGTCGTCCTAGCTCCTGGGTCTTCCCAGCTCCGGGGTCGTCACAGTTACGGGGTCGTTACAGCTACGGGGTCGTCCCAGCTCCTGGGTCGTCCCAGTGCCGGGGTCGTCCCAGCTCCTTGGTCGTCCCAGTGCCGGGGTCGTCCCAGTGCCTGGGTCGTCCCAGTGCCTGGGTCGTCCCAGCTCGTGGGTCGTCCCAGCGCCTGGGTCGTCCCAGCTCCTGGGTCGTCCCAGCTCCTGGGTCGTCCCAGTGCCTGGGTCGTCCCAGCGCCTGGGTCGTCCCAGCACATGGTTCGTCCCAGCTCCTGGGTCGACCCAGCGCCTGGGTCGTCTCAGCACATGGATCGTCCCAGTGCCTGGGTCGTCCCATCACATGGGTCGTCCCAGTGCCGGGTCTTCCCAGTGACCAGGGTCGTCCCTGCTCCTGGGTCGACCCAGTGCCTGGGTCGTCTCAGCACATGGGTCGTCCCAGTGCCTGGGTTGTCCCATCACATGGGTCGTCCCAGTGTCGGGGTCGTCCCAGCACTTGGGTCGTCACTGCTCCTGGGTCGACCCAGCGCCTGGGTCGTCTCAGCACGGGGGTCGGCCCAGCACCTGGGTCGTCCCAGTGCTGGGTCATCCCAGCTCCTGGGTCGTCTCAGCTCCTGGGTGGTCCCAGAGCCTGGGTCGTCTTAGCTCATGGGTCGTCCCAGGCATAGTTATATCTAGAAAAAGCTGTTTTTTTGTGTGAATTAGTAAACCTGCTGCTAGTTTCTTTATTCATATGTTCTTATTCTTACATGGAGATTTTATTATGAATAAAATAATTATAAATTATGAATTTGACAATAACATGATATAGGACAAAATATCAGGAGCAGGACGCGAATCGAACCCGGATGTAGTGATTATGTTGCGCGTCTGGAGATTCCCCCAGAACGCTCGTTCGAATCCTCGCTCTGTTCCGAAGATTTTGCTCACAGATCTATCATATTATTGGGATTTCATTCAGTGTTTGAAGAGAGTTCCATTTCCTACAATTTCCTCTAACCCTCATCACGGATCCTGTGGATTTGTTCCAACAATTTCTCCATTTCCCCCATTTCCAGTTCTGGTGTAGGAATAGAGGACTCCACTTCCTTCACCAGAGTGGTTATGAGGTTGTGTGTGTGCAACTTGGAGTTGACGCCAGCTTTTAAGCCAGCTTGAGAGCCACCTTGAGAGCCAGCTTTAGAGCCAGCTTGGGAGCCAACTTGGAGCCAGCTTGGTAGCCAGCTTGGGAGCCAGCTTGGGAGCCAGCTTGGGAGCCAGCTTGGGAGTCAGCTTAGGAGCCAGCTTAGGAGCCAGCTTGGGAGTCAGCTTGGGAGCCAGCTTGGGAGCCAGCTTGGGAGCCAACTTGGGAGCCAGCTTGGTAGCCAGCTTGAGAGCCACCTTGAGAGCCAGCTTTAGAGCCAGCTTAGGAGCCAGCTTGGGAGCCAACTTGGGAGTCAGCTTGAGAGTCAGCTTGGGAGTCAGCTTGGGAGCCAGCTTGGGAGCCAACTTGGGAGTCAGCTTGAGAGTCAGCTTGGGAGTCAGCTTGGGAGCCAGCTTGGGAGCCAGCTTAGGAGCCAGCTTGGGAGTCAGCTTGGGAGTCAGCTTGGGCGCCAGCTTGGGAGCCAGCTTAGGAGTCAGCTTAGGAGTCAGCTTGGGAGCCAGCTTGGGAGCCAGCTTGGGAGTCAGCTTAGGAGTCAGCTTGAGAGTCAGCTTGGGAGTCAGCTTGGGAGCCAGCTTGGGAGTCAGCTTGGGAGTCAGCTTGGGAGTCAGCTTGGGAGTCAGCTTGGGAGTCAGCTTGGGAGCCAGCTTGGGAGCCAGCTTGGGAGTCAGCTTGGGAGTCAGCTTGGGAGTCAGCTTGGGAGTCAGCTTGGGAGTCAGCTTGGGAGTCAGCTTGGGAGTCAGCTTGGGAGTCAGCTTGGGAGCCAGCTTGGGAGTCAGCTTGGGAGTCAGCTTGGGAGCCAGCTTGGGAGTCAGCTTGGGAGCCAGCTTGGGAGTCAGCTTGGGAGTCAGCTTGGGAGCCAGCTTGGGAGCCAGCTTGGGAGTCAGCTTGGGAGCCAGCTTGGGAGTCAGCTTGGGAGTCAGCTTGGGAGCCAGCTTGGGAGCCAGCTTGGGAGTCAGCTTGGGAGTCAGCTTGGGAGTCAGCTTGGGAGTCAGCTTGGGAGCCAGCTTGGGAGCCAGCTTGGGAGCCAGCTTGGGAGCCAGCTTGGGAGCCAGCTTGGGAGCCAGCTTGGGAGCCAGCTTGGTGCCTAGTCTGATGGCACATTCTGCCCAACAAAACACCGTGAGAATATTTCGTACAATAATACTCGGAGCTTAGCAAGGTTCAAAATATATATTAACATGTACATATTGTTTACATCTGAATACATATTTTGTTACATACGCGAGAGCCTTCATTATTTACCATGGGGGGGGGGGGGGGAGATGTGGGAGTGGCGTTGGCGTGTGGGAGTGGAGAGACATGTAAATAATTGTATGTGTGTGTAAATAACATCAACACGTTATTATAGTAGTAAAAACTCCCCCAACAAAGCCAAAGAACTCCTTCCTATCATTCTCAAATTTTAAAATAAATATTCTTCCAACTTCAAGTCTTTGGAGAGGCTTATAACTTTGTCCTTTTACGCGATAACAAGATAACCCTGACGGTCGACATTTGTTTGCAGCGATGACTATTCCGGTTTATGGTCACACAAGTTATGTCAACACAGGAGCTGTGATCATAGGATGCTCGCCTCGACCACTGCTATTAATAAGAACATCTTGATCAGTACAGCATCCTTCAGTTTCTGATTGGGAGAACATTTATTCACCTTCAATCCTTGAATGTTTAATTGGTCAATAAATATTTTCGTGTTTTTTATTATCCAATATTGATGTGAAATGAATGATACAATATTGTTGTGTGTGTGTGTGTTTATCAATATCATATCCTCCTGCAATCATTTTGATTACCATTCACAAATGCAATTAAAATGTTGGACCAGCATTGAAATTGCAAATAGGTATAATAGAATTTAGTGCACCAATCCATTACGGCTACACAGCACTGGAAAGTGATCAGGATAAGGATTTGGATGGGACGGGGGGGGGAAGGAATGGTGCCCAACTACTTGTGGATTGTCGGGGGGATTAAACAATGACCTGCATGAAGCGAGACCGTCGGTCAACTGTCCACCCCAAGTGGTTGGTATCCTTCGGAAATCACACCTGAGTTCTCTATGTCATCCCATAACAGGAAAAAGATGGGTTACCTGTAAACAAGCATCGAATGATTCCGCGATTGAACGGTTGGGGTAAGTAAGTAATTATCAAAAGAAGGCACCAACCGGGAAGGCTATGTAGCACCATCAAAGACGCAAAATAATCAGAGGGCGCTAAATATCACCAAGGATGCCAATACGAGAACAAAAACGCATAAGGCGAACGATATCAAAAGTATCCGAGTCACCAAGAATTCTATCGAGGGACAGGTGACCGCGAGGGGCGGTCGGAAAGCAAGACACACGCTCGTCCTGGAAGTCAGGACATTCAAGAAGGACATGCACGACCGTAAGAGGGACAATGCAACTAGGACAATAAGGAGCAGGGCGGCACTCCATCAAGTGACCATGGGTTAAGCGAGTATGGCCAATACGCAACCTCGCCAGAGCTGTTTCCCACCGCCGGTTACGGTGGAAGGAGGACGGCCATGAGGAAACACAACATTTAAGAGTACGTAGCTTGTTACCAGTAACAGACAACCAAGAAGCCTGCCAACCGGGTAAGAACTGAGGAATGGATAACTGGGTAAAGTCGGAATACGGAATGCCTTTACGAGAGATGGGACAAGAGCGGACAGCTTCCTTAGCGGCAGCACCTCACGCTCATTTAAAGACACACCAATATGGCTGGGAACCCAACAAACTCAACCGACTTAAATTTACTTGTGAACGAGAAACAGCCATGCTGGATCCTCGACAACTACTGGATGAACCGGATTAAAGGACCCGAGAGCCATGAGGGCACTACGAGAGTCAACAACAACCACAAAGGAAGACTGACAACGAGAAAGCAGGAGACGAAGAGCATAGAGAATAGCATAAAGTTCTGCTGTAAAGATGCTAGTCTCCGGAGGCAAGCGACACATATAAGTGCGATCAGGAAAAACAACAGAGTAGCCAACACCGTCCGCTGACTTAGACCCATCGGTGAAGACAGAAACGGAGCGGGAGTGAGAAGAAAAGTGCTCGAGGAAAAGGCGTTTTAGAACCGTAGGAGGGGTAAAAGCTTTAGTGATACGGGTCAAGGAAGTACAAAACCGCGGAAGAGGGACCCTCCACGGGGGCAAAGAAGGAACAACACGAGGAGAAACATCAGAAATACGAACGGAGAGAGAATCCTGTAGGCGAGATAACCGGACAGAAAGAGGGAGGTGGTGAAGAGGAACAGGAACCGCAGGAGGGGTAAAAGTTAAAGCACGACAGAGGCGAGAGGAAGGATGTTGCAAGGACCGCGCAAGATAGCGAAGACAGTAGCGATCACGGCGGTCCTGGAGAGACAGGAAGCCAGTGTCAACATACAAGCTAAGGATGGGAGTCGAACGAAAGGCACCAGAACTGAGGCGCAACCCAGTATGGTGCAAAGCATCAAGACGGCGAAGAGTAGAAGGAGAAGCAGACGAGTAAGCAGGGCAACCATAATCGAGCTTAGCCAGGACGAGAGAGGAATGTAAAGCAAGGAGAGTGCGTCTATCTGCCCCTGCCCCCCAAGAAGTATGGGACAAGACCCGAAGGAGGGTAAGGGCCTTAGAGCACTCAACACGGAGGTAAGAGATATGGGGAGACCAAGACAAACGAGTGTCAAGGAATAACCCCAAAAGCTTCGCGGAATCTTTGTATTCAAGGGGATGACCATAAAGCGACAAAGAGGGACGAAGAACAACCCGTTTCCGCGTAAAAGTCATGGCACAAGTCTTAGAAGTAGAGAACTTGAAGCCATGACCTGTGGCCCAAGACGACACGGCATCAATCGCAAGTTGAAGCCGGCGTTGAAGGAGAGGCGAATCATCACCCTGACAACAAAGGGTAAGATCATCGACATAGAGAGCGGAGAAGACACCAGAAGGAAGAGAGGAAAGAAGACCATTGAGGGCAACAAGAAAAAGAGTAGTGCTCAGATAATGTGGTGAAGGCTGACTCCATACACAGTTTCAAGTGTAGATATGATAGAGCCCAATAGGCTCAGAAACCTGTACACCTGTTGATTGACGGTTGAGAGAAGGGACCAAAGAGCCAGAGCTCAACCCCCGCAAGCACAACTAGGTGAGTACAACTAGGTGAGTACACAATCACACACTCAGCTACCTCCCTCCCTACTCCTCACCCCCCCCCCCCCCCACCGTACCACCCGCTCTCTCAATAAACACAGACCTGTCTCTCCCTCCCCTGCCTCTGTCCCTCTCTCGCCCTCCCTCTCTCTCTGTCTCTCAACTCACACTCCAACATCTGCACCCTCCCTTCCCCCACACACACGCACACTGGGGTTAGTGGTGTAGACTAATACAAACGCTAATGAACAAAAGAGGGGTCAAGCAGGATTGTAAGAGAACCGAACACAAGTGAAGGAGAGGACCAGGCCGAGACGTACATGGATATGACTGCTCGTGCATGGAGGGAAATGAAAGACATGAGGGAAACCATAGGTAAAGTGCAGAATGAACTAAGTGCAGCGGAAGAAGAGATAACAAACCTAAAAACAGAATCTCCTCAGACTGTGGTCCAGGCAACCAACCCCCAGGTAGCAGGTGATGTTGCAATGGCAGAGACCCCTACAATGGGTGCCACCTTTACTGAAATATTGAAGAGCCCCGATGCCATGTCCACAGTCAAGGAAGTTGTAATGAAAGCAGTAACCTCACAGGAGCCAGCTAAATGCACGACCAAACTACCGGAAAGGAAAAGAGCTGTAGTAGTGTTAGGTTTTAAGGAACAAGAGGCTTCCACAAGGGAAGAATGGAGAACTAAGGACAAAGCTGCAGTGTCAGGGATACTAAAGGAGATAGGAATGGAAGAGGCTGAACGAGACATATGGCAGTTTTTCCGGATTGGCCAGTACAACAAAGACAAAGACCGGTTGATCAAGGTAGTACTCAGATACTAGTCCATCAAAGAGGACATCCTAGTAAAAAAGAGCAAACTGAAATATGTAATTAAATACAGACAGTGTCTGTATACAGAATTAATACAGTCTGTATACAAAATACAGAATTAAATTCAGAGTGTCAAGACCAGAGAAGAGATAATACAGGCAACAGATGCAAGGAAAAGACGCAGACTGAGAGAAGGGTGCCAGTGAACCTCGACGTCCATCCCAGCAATCCCAGAGGGGAGTGAGGAACCCCAATCCAGCAATTCAGGAACCCCCGAATTGCCACCCCAGAGGGGACTGCAACATCCCAACTCACCACCCCATAGGTGACCCCCCCCCCCACTCCAAGCCCAGATCTTTCCTCCTCCCTACACAATGCCCACCATACCACCCTATTCCACCCTCCCTCCCTACCCCGAGTACCCCAGACTTCCCATTCCCTGGTCTTCCTCTTGCCCTAAGCAGGACCAGGCAAGATCTAAATCCTCCATCCCCCACCCCACCCCCTCCAAACCCTTGTTACCTCCACCACAGGAGGACGAGCCCTCATCCCGAGCACTCCCTGCCCCCCAACCTCGAGCACTCCCTGCCCTTCCACCCCTAGGAATTCTCCCTGTCTCAAGCAGGCCTGGGCATTTTCTAAGCCTTCCCCCCCACCACCACCCCTCATTCCCTACCCACCCCTACCTCCCCCAGAACCCTTGGTAACTACCCAACACGAGGATGACCCTACCCAAGTAGCAATGCCGATGGAACAGCTTCCTGCATTAGTGGGGAGGGTAGGTGAAAATGGATATAGGAAAATGAGCTTCAAGGTAATGTACTTAAACATCGATGGGATTACCAACAAAGCACGTGAACTGGCAGAAAGGGCGCAGGAAGAGAACCCAGATGTAATGGGACTCACAGAAACAAAATTGTTAGGATTCACAACAAATGCTGTGTTTCCAAAGGACTACTATATAGTAAGGAAAGAGAGGGAAGGGAGAGGAGGAGTGGCTCTGCTGATAAGGAAGGACTGGAGCTTTGAAGACATGGGAATTCCGGGCTGCGACGGATTCAGAGATTACATAACAAGAACTATGACAATGGGTGGACCTAAGATAATAGTGGCAGTCATTTACAACCATCCACT